TGAGAGCAACACATGTCACAGGCAGCAAAGCTGAAGGACCGACTCCATTTCAGCCTTTGATGCTGGACGCAGAGCTAGAGCACACACAGTTTGATAGTATTCAGTATAAGAGTAAGCAGAAAAAGGATTAAGCCTACAGAAATCAAGACATTCCAAATAGTATCCTCAGAAAGAATATTTCATGTCAGTTTCAGTCCCCGACCCACATGCATACATGAAATCCATGCACCTGTTTAAGTGCAAGTCTTCCTGGTTCAAAAATTTGTCATTACTTATTTCACATCAAAAAATAAAACAAAGCCCCAAAATGTTAATTAGGCAATTCTTATTTAACTGACACTGATTGGTTTTCTTCACAATGTCTCTTCTTTTTCCTTAAAAATGGTTTGGGCTTTCTCAAACATATTTTAATCTTATAAATTCTCAGCAGTCTTCTGAAACTTACACAAAACTTACAAGCTTTGAAAGATTATAATTTAAATTGAAATATTAGAGAAATAAAGACATCCTCATCAAACCCCACCCAAATACTATGGAAGAGGAGGAAGCCATATGTATGGCAGGACATACAAACTCAGAGATCACGTCAGAAGACCTACACAGGTTCAAAGCAAGATGGGACCCAGCACTGAGGTGGGGTTGGGCATGGAGTTCACATGGGTCCCAGAATTAATTTGAGGAAATGATCATGGAGTTCCACTTGGGTCCCAGCACTAAGTTGGGGAAATGAACATCGGGTTCAACCCCAACCAAGAAGCTATCTGCACTAGATACCTGCTAACAAAGGGAAAACTAATTTTCTCTAATACAGTGTCACGAGTTATATCAACAAGACTGGCAGGTAGAGGGCAGACCCCATGTCCAGAAGTTGAACAATACAAAAACAAACTCCTCTTTCTTTTTTTTTTAAATGCATGTCTTTTTTATTTTATTTTGCTTAGGCACTTTTTGCATTACTGCATTTTTGTTTGTTTGCTTTGATTTTCATTTTTCTGGATTTTTGTTTTGTTTTCATAGGAGAGAGAAAGAGCATGAACTAGCTGGAAAGGAGAATGGGAAACATAAAGAAAATGTATTATATAAAATTATTAATTTTAAAAGAGGAAATAAATGGCTCAGAAGTTTAGAAAAATCGCTGTCCTTCAAAGGACTGCAGTTGGGTGCTCAGCAGCCATGTCATGTGACTTATAACCACCTGTAACTACAGCTTCATGGGATCTGATTCCCTCCTCCGGCTCCTACAAGCACCTTCACACTCAGGCACACTCATACATAGGTACATGCAGACATACATATTAAAGGAAATAAAGACTTCTGTTTACATATTAAGCACTTTGACCCTGTAAAACTGCATCTATGAGATGCATTTTAAATAAATATTGGATATAATAGTATATGTATTTATGTATATGCATGCACATGTGCATATAAATATATATGAATGCCAAAATCAAATAAATCAATTATCTACTGTGCAGTTAAGTGAATAGTCTGTGCAAATATCTACAGCCTAGTAAAGTCACCATAAATGTGTGGGATTTCAGTGTTTAACAATGCTGATGGTGAAGCTGCCCATAAATATTTTTGCACAACTGTACACATGTTCCTATGCAATATAGTACCTTTTTTTCCTTTCCTTTCTGAACAGTGGAGTTATTGAAGTTGAAAAAAATCAGTTATATGAACAGCAGCAGCAACATGAATGTGGAGATTTGCCTTTTGTGATTTTGATCAGTGACAGGACATAACAAATAGGGCTGCCTTCATAGCGTATAAGGCACAGTATCCCACCCACTGTGCTAGACAGGAGTGGGTATCACATTAGCAGGTATTCCTACCCAAGTTCTGCAGCATTGCTGTCTACTTGCTTAGCTTCCCCACTCCCATTCCTCACAGCCAAGTGACTGTCTCTCTACAAAATACATCAGAGTAAGTGCATAAACCAGTCCTCTGGGACAACTGCTGAGGGCTCGTGGATATTTATACATATCTTTTTCTCTATGAGTAAGAAGTTAAGGTCAACAGCGCTCCGCTACTTACTGGATGATGGCAGTAGTAATACATGTGTGACATATTTTTACCCTTGAAATGCGAAAGTAATATAGAAAGGCAAATACTTTATTGAACTTAATTGGCATCTGGTAGAAGGCTATAATACACTCTAACTCATGTGCACTGAAAGAAAACCATTTACTGAAAATACAGGGACACTTCTAAGAAGAATAAAACCTCTAAGCCTGGTTATAAAGGGTCCTGGTATATGGATTTGAAATTTTCCTGGAATTTTTAAGATAAAAGTATGAATTTGAAATAATTATAGGACTTTGATATTGGTTAAATTAATATATTTAGTACATGTCTCTGTGAGCATGTATTGTGTGTGCGTATGTATGCAGACACACATTTGCTTGTTGTACATTCTTTCACCTTTCTGTGTATCTCTATGACTCAGTTCAATATTTTTTAAAACAGCACAGTCATTAAACTTTCCCATTTTATAGCTTTCAGAATTATCAGAAAGACTTAAAATTTAAGGTACAGTTGACATTTAACAACAGCAAGCCCAGGAACATTAAGAGTCTTATCTTCTCACAGACTACTTCCCTTTGTGATCCTATAAAAGGCCCTAAGCTTTTTAAATCTTGTTTTTTTTTCCACTAGCAAACACAATGGTGGAGTTTATGCCCAAAATTCCTTTTTGTCATCATCCTATAAAGTACGTAAGAAATTCCAGTAAGAAGCAGTCAATTTCCCACTATTCTGTCACTGTTCTTCATATGTGTTCTCAACCTTTCTAATACTGTGATCCTTTAATACAGTTCCTCACATTGTGGTGAACCCCACTACAAACTAATTCATTGCTACTTCTTAACTGTTTTACTTGATATTGTTACGAATATCTGATATGCAGGATCTCTGATATGCGATCCCTGTGGGGTCACAACCCCCCAAGTTGAGATCCACTGCTCTAACAGATATGAGGAAATGCTTAGAATTCATATTAGCTAAGCAAACAGCTACAACAATGATATCTGAGAATGTGCAGTTCCTTATTATTAACAGAGGTAGAACAATTTTAATTTAGTAACACCTATAAGAAAAAGGGGTTTCACAATCAAAGTAACCAGCTCAAGAATATTTGTGAGAAAAACACAACCATATACATGGGAAATAACTAACTTATGACAGTTAAAATTTATTATTTTTAAAACAAGTTCATGGGGAGTTGAAATAGCTTTCAATTAAGAGATGTGGGTTTTTAGATTTTATATTTCTTCTTGTGTTGATTCTGTCATACTTTTTCTTACAAAACTAATTCTTGTTTCTTAGTCGAATGTAGTTGTCATAGTCTTTTGCACATTGCCTTATTTTCCTTTTCATGTCCACATGATATAGAATGATACCCTTTCTTTCATCCCTGATGTCATTAATTTGTTTCTTCTCTCTTTTTGATAAATGAAATGTGATAGTAGCTTATAGGTTTCATTTGTCTTTTCAAAGAACTAACCTTTGGATTTCTTTTTAGCTTTATTGGTAATCTTAAATTTCATCTTTTCCTTTTGATTTTTATAATGCATGCTACTTGTGTTTTTTACAAAGAATGTGTTTTATACTGTTGTTGGATATGGCCTCATATATATATCCAGTGGTCAAATTAATTGATGGTTTGTCTTTAAATCTTTTATATCTAGAATTTTGTTCATTATTTTAATAACTTCCCTTTTTACAATGAAGAGTCATCTTTCTAAACATCTTAATACACAGAATATTTCTTTAAAATTTTTTTATCTTTAAATATGTGTATAGGGAAGGGGTTGTGTGTGCGTATGTGGGCTGTTTCCCATGGAGGCCAGAAGAGGACATCAGATGCCCTGGAGCTGGAGTTACAGGCAGCTCTGATCTACCAGACATGAGTGTTAGGAATTGAACCAATATTCTCTCAAGAGCAGTATATGATCATGGTCACTGAGCAATCCCTCAGCTCTACAAATTACCAACTATAAATTAAGTGTACAGGTTGTTGCTTTTGACTGGACTCAATGGTTTGTTCTGCGTGTGCACAGTTCAGAGGCCAACTAGGTATCTGAGAAGAGTTTATATTCAGACCCAGAAATCCCTTTCTGGAGTCTTCTCTTCTGTAGGCTTCTGTAATCAGTTCCCAGTTACTTACTCCACCGCCCAGATTCTCCAATAATGCTAACAAATGAATATATACATATACATATATATATATATACATACATACATACACACACATGAAACCTGATCTTTTCAGAAAATTTGCTCTGCAAGCAAAAGAACCTGATTTCAAATCTCCAGTATCCATATAAAAAGTCACACATCAGCATTGTGACACAGAAACAGATGAGAGCTCACTGGCCAGTCAGTCTATGTAGATGGAGTTCCTTGTTCCACCTGGTCCCACAGCCCTTCAGTCCCAAATAAACACACTGACATTTATATTAATTATAAACTGTTTGGCCAACAGCTCAGGCTTCTTAATGGCTAGTTTTCTCTTAATTATTAAGTCAGTACTATTAATCTATGTATTTCTACATAGCCTTATCTTACCATAGAATACCCAGTGTCCTGTCTTCCTGGTACTACATGGCATCTGTCTGGCCACTTCTCTCTGTGTCCTCTCCCCAGAATTCTCCTCGTTTGATAGCCCCACCTGTACACCCTGTCTGGCTACTGGCCAATCAGTGTTTTAGTCCATCAACCAATAAGAGAAACACATATAGAGAAGTCCATCTCCCATCAAGTCTAGCTGAAATGTCTCAAAATAATAAGGTAACTAGCAAGAGGGTCATCCAACATTCTACTCTGGCCTCAGTATGCATGCATACAGACTCACATACTCAAATGCATTTAACACACACATTTGAGTTCTCTACAATCTATGCTTCTTTATACTTCGGTATGAAAGTCAGCAAGTATATTGCCAACAACAGAACAAATATGCTGATTTATGTTCTTCTGCTGAATTAAAGATCTACCTTTTTCCTGACTTCTGGTCTGGCTTGGTACGTTGTAGTTCTTTCTTCTTACTTGGTTTCTGGAAAGTGTCAAAAAGAAAATAATGACTACCTGTACAATTTTAATTCGTGTTCTACTATATTTTCAAATGGAGAATAAATCTTTGTAAGGCAAATACACATTTGTAGTCATAATCCATGTCATAAACCAAAATATCCATGTGAATATGTAGGTATGTTCAATACTAAGTCTTCTTCAGTGTCTTTTTGCACCTAGAAATATAACTCCTAGTAATAATTCTAGTGAACTAAATTTTTTTATAAATTTAATATAGATAAGAATGTATTTATTTGGCTGTGCCTTGGAAAATAACTGATGTAACATTTCACAAAGTGGCATCATCTATAAAAAAATGAAAATAACTTTAAATCAGGTTTAATGGGAAAATGTAAGAAGAATGATGTGGGGTATTTCCCGATGTTACTTGGTATGTCTATCAGAATTGGTTATCAAATTCCTAGCTTTCAAAGACTTACGAACTAAAATATACTCCCACCAAATTCTCAAAGCCTAATTCCCAGTGTGTTTATTTTTAGCAAAGGCTTACAGAGAAGTGTGAGGTTCAAAGGTGAGGCCCTAATCCAACAGGACCGATGCTCTCATGTGTCACCGATGTTGCAGCTCAGGCATGGGTTCCCACCGGTTCAGGTTCACACGGGTCCCTCAAAGGAAGACTCAGAGACACTTTTAAGATTGAATTTAGCCTTTATCAGCTGCAGCCTTGATGGCCTGAAGTGCTTTCTCTATGTCCAGGGCATTTTCATTTTTACACTTCAACTACCTGATCACCATATGTGCTCAGAACAAGTTGAATGAGGCTTCCAAAAACACAATGCCAAGAGCAAAGTCTTGATCATCGGGTATCATAGTTTGGGCTTCCCAAACCAAGTGTTGCATAGGCCTTTGTATCCAGACAAGGTTCACATGGGGGACAAAAGGTATCTGCTTAACAAAGGATGGATTAAGGCTAGGTGCTAGCTCTGAGGTGCAAGGCCAGGTATAGGTCAGTGGGAGCCAGGCCAGCAGGATTCTGCCACTCATATGAATAGGAAGATACACCAGAGTAAGGTCCCTGATGACACAAGGCCAAAAAGACAAAGAATCTCAAACTAAGGAGATAGAAATTCTCTTTCTGACAGCTTAAGATAGGACTTTGAGCCTCCAGAATTTTGAGATAATTAACTCTGCTGGTTAAGCCATATACATGGCTGTGTTTTGATACAAGAACCCTAGAAGACTGATTTAAAAACACCCAGGAAAAGAGTTCAGTAAGAGAAGCCAACTTACATCCCATGAAAAAATGTCTTCCATATGTCATTCAGAACAAGCCTGGTATAAAGTGCTGCACTGCTCTCCAGGATTACACAGCAGCGTTTGATAGGGAGTTTTCTTATACAGTCCCTTAGTACTAATCAAGGATGAGACTGTATGGGAAGAGAATGGCATAATAGACCTGAACAACTGGCTGTTGCCTCTCTGAGCAATGGGAGTCAAAGGAGGAGCTGATGCGTTTCACCCACTTTATAATCTTTCATGATGATCACTTTGTACAAAACAACTTTGGGAAAAAACTGGGATAAGGACTTGGAAGTCATTCTGATAACTGAGGGGAAAAAAATGGAGTGTGAGTGGCCGTTGTCTCCTTCAGACTCTATGCAGTCGGGCAATGGAGGTTTTTGTGGTATGTGATGAGATGGCATACGCACATCATGGAAAATGTATCTTTTCTCTTAGCACTTACAGAAGCCAAACATATCTTATATAAATTCTCTGAAAATATAAAAGGCAAAATAAAGATGAAATGTAAAGATGTTGCATTTGTGCTGCAAAAAAAGTACTCAGTTTTAGACATAGGCTGTTTATTTAAAATCATAGCTGTCACTTACAAAGGTGAGCTTCATTTGTAATATATTTCTCTCAGATGCAATCTTAGCTGTATATGTTCGTGCTCTCTCGTGGCATTTATCTCTGAGAATATTTTTTTCTACAATTACATTAGAAAACATGAACCTTGAAAGCAGATTGGTACTTTCAGGATCTCTGGATTGCACATTCTTTTTCAAAGTAAACAACTGCTCCAAAAATAATACTATAATTTTTAAATTTATGTTCAACACATAAGTGATGCTAAACCACAAAGCCAGGCTTTTCACTGTTGCCTTCACGATGCTCCAAGATAGGCATTCATGGCTACAAAACTACTAATGGTTCACAAAACTTAATATTTAATCTTTGTGCTCCATACTTTTACAGGAACTGTTCTGGGCTTGGGATGCCCTGTCTTTACGTGAAGGTACTACTTCTACTGCTGTCATGTTTTATTCTCTGTCTTCCCTCTTGGCCAGACTAACCAAATTGTGAGCTCCCCGTAACAAAGCCCAATGTTAGGACCTCCCCTCCTAGCATGTCTTCCCATTCTCTCCTTTCCTCTTCTGCAAACTCACTGGGGTCCCTGTCTCCACTGGTACCCTTTCCTTTCCTTCCTTCCTTCCTTCCTTCCTTCCTTCCTTCCTTCCTTCCTTCCTTCCTTCCTTCCTTTCTTTCTTCCCTCCCTTCCTTCCTTACATACTAGAATAGATTTGGGGTGTTGCTTTGGTTTTCCTGTGTATTTGTTGTTTGTCTTGGTTTGCATTTTGGAAAGTGAATGCCAGGTTTAAAGGGTTCCCCCGCCCCCAAGCTTTGGTCTTCTACAGATTTCTGTGTTCAATTCTCAAGTCCATTGTGCCTTGACATTTCAACTCCATTTTGTCCTAAAATGTTTCTTCTTCGCACAGCTGCCACCTGCTTCTTCCAACTTCCCCAAGTTCCTTCTTTCTGCCCAGAAACAGCTTTTCTGTTCCCCAAACATTTGGCTGAAGAATATGTAAACTACTAATGAAACTCTCCTGACACATTTTCTTTTTTTTTGTAACAACCTGAATAGCTTTATCTCACCTCACCTCCCAGACTCATTCCCCCACATATTCTCTCAAATATCAGAATTAACTGGGACTCACTTCTGGAATTTACACAATATTATTACACCTCAGTCTTCTTTTTAGAAAAACGGCTGTCTAACCCATCAATCCCCATCCTCTTTCCAAATTTGTTTTTTTCCTCTCTGACAGATCCTCATAGTGTAATAATTAAACTCTTACACTGATTAACTACAGAACTTCTTGAGCCTTTCATTTTGCATGTTACTGCTAGACAGATTGCTATTTCACTCTACTGCTGTGAATTTCTGAAATATATTTGCTATAAAAAGGTACTCTATAATTGACATGTTATTCCCTAGCACCCCCAAATGTGGTTAAAGGGGTTATTCTATATGTCATAAAGAATTCTCATAGTTTTTAAAACAGTTTTGCATCCCTGCCAGAGTACTTATAAAACATGGTGGATAAACATATCATTCAAGGTAAAATGATCAGTCTTCGAAGAAGCAACTGTTAAAGGAGATCATTTCTAGAGGATACATATGACATCATGCACATCAAAACATATGAAATCAACTGCAAAGCTTCTCTGCCAGGCCAGGCTCATTCTGTGGAAGTCAGCCATGCCCCAGCATTGTGAGGAGCAGTGAGCTACAGTTCTTATGCCACTACCACTTCCGATCTGAGAAATGACTAGGACAGTAAGCAAGAAATGCCAATCATTGACACACATGCAGAATCAAAAGTTACCAAATGTATTTTGGGGAATTTTTATATGTCATTCTCCTTGAATTCTTGAATTTAGGAGTGTCTCAGAATGCATGCAAACAACAGAAGAGCTTTGAAAGCATACAAGCACCTTCAAGGGGCTGTAGTCCTCAAGCTGGTATGTTCCCATAGAAAACCTGCCCAGAAAGCCCACCCAGCATCTGTACAAAAGGTGATCTCAATTTCAGCATTTCCTCTTTGTATCTTTCCAGAGAAGCACAGTTGCCAAAGAGGAAGCAGATCATTCTGCAGGAGTCATTTGTCTTTCAGAATGGGAAATTATGCAAGATGACTCAGCAAAGTATCACTTTAACCAACTTGAAGAACCAAGACTAGGAGTCTACTCCTTTACATGGAATTTTTGCTTGTTTATTTTGCCCTTGTAGAGACTGAACCTAGGGTCTTGCACAACCGGGAAAGTGTTTTGTAATCTCCCTAGCACAGGTTTTAAACACAGCACTTAGGCTGAAAGGGAGAAAGAGAAGTGACTGCTTCTCGACTAAGTCCTTAGTTATCTGTAAAAAGGTAAGGACACTGCCATTTCAGGAACGTGTGTAATGGTAAACCCTAGCATCATACAAGATAATTCCAAAAACGTAAAACTGAATTATATTTTTAATGTATGACTGAGCTGATAGAAAAACAACAGAATTTCATTCTAGTTAAAAGCAGCAAAATGGTGATTTATGAGTTTGGAGACTGTCTCTTTGAAGCTTGTGAGTTAATTTTGATCATAAGCCTGACTGAACTGAGAAATACCTAGGAGACTAAAGAGTTGTATTTCTGAGTCTGTCTATGATGGGCTTTCAGAAACCAGAGATGATATGAATGGCTCTGATGTATGAAAGGAGTTAGCCCCTTGATAGAGTCATAATTGGATGGTATCAGTGAAACAGTAAAGGTAGGAGGAGATTGTTGGAAGACATGGGTTGCTGAAGACTTCCTCAAGCCTATGTCCTGACTTGACCTTTTCTTGGCTGTCTGCTAGTCCCTGATGTGAACTATTGTGTTTTACTGTACCTGCCCTGTTACAAGAGGCTGAACCCTGTGAACCTGTGAGCCAAGTAAAGCCGTCCTCCGTAAAGTTGCTTCAGTCATGTCACAGCACTAAGGAATGTGACTAATACAGACGTCCTGAGGTCACTGCTGCTGCTCTGGCCCCTAGAGTCTTGTCTTCCTGTTTCTAGTCTCTTTTAATTTTTCTAAAACCTTGAAGCAATTTGTCACTCTCTTAATTTTTCTCAATTGTAGTTATTTTAACTGATACATAAAGTATAAGAATTGCATATATCTGTGGGATGCAACGTGATGATTGGACACTTGGGTATACTAT